TTTATAGTAAGAGTAAGTATATAATATAAAGGTGCATCCTAAAAAATGTTTCAAAGATAACTAATGTATAAAAGTAAGTTACAAGCAAATATCCTTAAAGGAATAATAATGAAATACAAAAACACAATAAGAATACAAAAAATAATAATAAAAAGCCGCAAACATGCAATTAAGTTAAATTTAAGTCAGACGCAAGTTCGTTTCTCAACATTGATAACAACTTGCGCCTGAACTCCGCAGGGGGGCACGAAAATATGTCAACATTGTTGAATCTTGTATTGTACGATTTACACATTCTACGTAGAGGCATTCGAAACCCAATATTAGTTCTAGCAGAGGGCAAGTCAAAGGTGTTACATGAACGAAGAGACCTGGCGGGGACATGAAGGTATAGTAAGCCAAGTAGTTCAGAAGAAGTCTGCTCACCTGAGCAGATCTTCTTTAACGTCATACAATCTATTAATGTTCGGCGTTGAACCAGCGTTAAAAAGTTAAATTTTCGCAGTAGATCGTCATAGTGCAAGCGGTTTCCATTCACTCGGTAATTTAGTATGCGTAAGAACTTTTTTTGGACTGCTTCAATGCTCTGTTCGTAGATTGAATAATAAGGATTCCAAATGGAGCTTGCATATTCTAGGTGGGGGAGCACGAGAGATTTGTAGAGGTAAGTATAAGTGTTTTTACTTTTAAATGGTTTAGAAACCCGTGTTATAAAGCCCAACATGCGCAAGGCAGTATTAATAATATTATCTACAGTTGTCAAGAGTAAGTTTAGTATGTAAGTGAATGCCAAGATCTTTAACAGTTGAAACTAAGGACAGTTGTACATTTCCTAGGGTGAATTGTGTTGGTATAACATTTTTATTTCTTGTGAAAATCATGTGTTTGCACTTGTTATAAGCCAGGTGTAATTTATTACGATGGCAATAAGCATCGAGTCTATTTAAATCTTCTTGAATGTAGGCTGCATCAGCTAAAGAATCAACTTTTTTAAAGAGTTTCAGGTCGTCAGCATAAAGCAAATATTTACAGTGAATGAAACATTGAGATATGCATTAATAAAGATAGAAAAGAGCAAGGGTCCAAGTATGGAGCCCTGTGGGACGCCGGATTAAAGTGACTGGAAGGATGTATAGCCGTTCACAGTAACTGATTGGGTGCGGTTTTGAAGATAAGCAGCAAACCACCGTAAGAGATTGCCTTTAATGCCGTTGAATGACAACTTACGTAAGAGCAACACATGATCCACTTTGTCGAAGGCTTTCTGAAAATCAGTGTAAATGGTATCGGTTTGTACTTTACTATCCAAGCTGTTGAAAACATAGTTAGTAAACAGAAGAAGATTAGTGATGGTTGATTTCCCAACGACAAAACCATGTTGTTGATCAAGTATAACATTCTTGAAACTATAGTAAATACGTCGATGCAAAAGCCTTTCTAACACTTTCGGAATAGTAGAAAGGAGGAATGGGACGATATTTTCAATGTTGTTTCTCGCCCCGATTTAAATATTGGTGTATGTGAGCAACTTTCCAGATACTTGGAAAACAACCTGTTAAGAGAGAATAAAATATAATATGCCGAACGAATCGCGACGGACCTTTTGTTAACACAATTATTGATATTCTGTTTTGGCTTCGACCGTTCCCCATTATGGAAACAATCAACTCATCCTTTTAAAATCGCGAGATTATATTCCCGAAATGTTAATGCGCTCAAATAAATGAGAATCTTTTATGGAAATTAATGGATTTTACGGCGTGATTACTGTTATATATTTGCTATCATTCCGATTTCTTTTCGTCTAATGTCATTGAGATTTTCTTAAAAGATCACTTTAAAAATTGCGGCTTTACCTATTTGAAAATAGAATATCCTTTCAGTGAGACCACAAAATTTAAAACTAGAACGTTACAAATAAGGAAATAAAAACATACAGATTTTGAAGTAAAATTTAATATAATAATTAAAATATTCTAAAATCAACGTGATTAATGTATATAAAAAAAAGTCACAAGGCAGTCGTACTAACTTCCAAATACCAACTAACACGGTTTAAAAAATAAACGCGTATGTCATTAAAATTTTCAAGAGATTCCCAAGCAACACTAAGAAATGTTATTTACAAAGTTGTAGGTAGCGGTTGCAGATCAAAAACTTGTACTTGTTAGCGCGTTTAAGTGTAACTTGTCAAGTTATAAGAAGTGACAAATTACTCATGTATGTACCGTATGTATATGTGGACACTTGTGTAAATATAGAAATTTTAATTTACATAAGTGTATCAGCAACCTTGTTTGTTCTATTCACCTTGTACTGTATAAGAGTTTTATTTTATTGTTAGAAAAACAGCAAATCAAAACTAAACAATTTATGATTTACTGACTTATGCGCTGACCTATGTTGTCTTTGGAAACCGGAAATCCAGACTTAAATCGAAACACTATTCAACTCCACGGCTTCTTTTTCAGTGGACTACCTCCGAAAAATTTGGAGGTTCGATTTACCAATTTCGGGGTACAGTAATTCAAATTTCAAACACAACCTTAAAATAATGGGAGCACATGTTCTAAGAAATCTATTTGTTTTCAACCTCAGCTAACCCGAGCAGTGGGTGAACAAAAGGACAGAAAGCTATTCAAATCGATAATTGGGTTTCAGGCACGTATATTGTGGCTAATGACCGGTTTCCACCATAAATAACTTCCATTTGTTGCACAATCCGAAGAATGTAATTAGCTAACTGCCTTCTTATAAAAGATTGGATATTTGAAGCTTTGCCCTTCAAAGCCCACACGGGGAATATGTAACCTTTACGAGTTTCGTACTATGATAATAATTAAAATAACAATAGAAATTTTCCAAAGAGCTCCCTAATCAAAACTGACATACTTGGGAGCCTTTTTGTATATATTATAATAACCTTTTGAAGGAAATGGTTACTCAACAAGTAATTAGCATATGTATATTTCTCAGGATAGTCTACGTATAGTTAATAATATACTGAATCGTTATCATCAGCCAATTTACCCCCAATCCAAATCTACGCTGGCTGAACGTGTATTGATAAATTACACAAGTCGTTAAATTTGGTCCTAACTTCTAAGGTATTCCCATTTCTTCACGATATGCAAAACTAAATTAAAACACAGGTTTTGAACGAGTAGTATCTTGTTTACACAATTAGTACACATTTAAATAAAACATTTTTAACGGCTTTAAACGCGAACTATATTAGTTAAGTATTTTAAATCTAAACCGATAGCCAGATGTTTAGCTTATGCTTTGCAGCAGCATTGCTACATTAGTTAATATATTTCTCGTTTTAAACAGTCCAAGGCGTTTTATTTAAATGTGTATCACACAAGTCAACTACAGACAGTACTACGTTGCTAGGCAACCAAAGTGTACAGTGGGCAAAGTACTTTACCATTTTGCGAAATTGATTGTACACAATATAGATGAAATCAAATAATGAGTTTTGTTAGCAAATAATTTCCTTTCAGCATTTTATATTGAACCTATTGTGTTCATCTATTAGCTGGAATTGCAGTAACACAAAATGCCTTAGCATCGAGTGGCTCTTCGCACAGCACACTTCTTTATTAATAAGGAGAGAGCTTTTTTTTACCTTTCTTACTATTATTGTTATGCAAGAAATGCGAATCTACAATCACAAAGGCTTATTGATTTGATCCTGCTTGTAAGTTTTGCTTTTACCAGCAATCTTTGTCTTGCATGACCTCTCTTACATCAGACTGTACAATGGGCGTCGTGAGTTCGATTTTCATCGGATCCAAGGTGGTAAGAATAAGGGTCATGTACTTCTCTCGCTATTCACAATTGGAAATCCGTGTCCGTAATCCGTCTACAGTTTTCCGAATACCCAAAATCTAAATCGATGGCGCATTTTAAATATATTTTAAAACCAAGCTGGTATATCCTATGTCTTAAAAACCTTCTACACGACTTGCATGGTCTGATTTGCAAAAGTTTATAAAGTAATATAATATTGAATTGATAATAAATGCTTTTTATAATAATCGTTTATTTTTAACATAAACGGTTGTTATTTTATGTATAAGTTGTGTAACCCTCAGATTTTTTGAACGTCAAATTAAAGGTGTAATCTTGAAAATCTCTTTGCGATTTCGCCTTAAATATAAAAGTTTTCTCTCATCCAATACCGGTACTAGTTTATTAAACGTAGAGTTATTTCTGAACATCGTGCCCGTTTCGGCTTATCGCCTACCATACATAGTTAATATGTTTGAGCGATCTCTACGATCTCTATTTCGTTCAGTATTTAACTTGTCATATACTGATTATGATACTGAAATCATATTATACATCTTTAATATCTACGATACACAAGAGAGTCATGTATTCCATTTCTCTTGCTATCGAAGATTTGCGAATCAAATTATTTTAACTGTTATTAAAAACTAAGTGAACAAAACACATTCATTGAATACTGTCTGTATTTTAAGCGAGTAGAGCACATTTAAATAAAACACTTTAACGGTTTAAAACGCGATATATTACTCTGAAGACTAAAATAATTTAATTTTATTAAAAATAATTTTCAAAAAAGTTTGTCTAAAATATATCACGTTTTAAACCGTTAAAGTGTTTTATTTAAATACATTAATTGTATTACATATATTTTTCACATATAAGATGCCAAAACGTCACTATTAGTTTTCAAACATCGAACTTCATAATTTTATCTTCAATGATTTTCTGAAGCCGCAAAGCATATCACTTTGGACCTTAATGAGCAATTGTTAAGGTTGAAATTACAATGCACGAGCGCTGCATGTATCAATATCAGTAATATCATTAGCTCAATGGGTTAGAGCAACACGGAACGCTGACGAAGCCGGTTCAAGTCCTGCCCGAATTAATTTTTAATTTATATAGCGTCATCATGTGCATGTGAAAAATATTAAAGTTTTCAAAGGTGATAACTAGTCTAGTATTAATACAGATGTACTCACTCTTCCAGTTATAGATGAATTCCAGGTTTCCAGACTGATCAGCCCACATGAGATAGGAAAACGAGGTCTCCGGTATCGAGGCGACGACAAAGCCCTGCAGCGACGGAACGCCGCTCTTCGAGAACTCCGCCAAATGGTTCTGCAGTTCGGTGGTCTAAATTGATAAAACATATCTATATTAATATTATAAAGTTTGGTTGTTTGAACGCGCTAATCTCAGGAACTACTGGATCGAATTGAAAAGTTATTTTTGTGTTGGTTAGAGAGCTTATCCAGAAAGCTTTTAACAAGACCAATACATAACCATATAACAAAACAAACAAACAACAAAAAATACTTTATTTTCACCACAATTTACAAAAAAACTTAATTAAAAATTTAACAAAAAGTAGGAGAAAAGGCGGCCTTATCGCTAAAAAGCGATTTTTCCAGGCAACTTGAAAATGGAGATTTACAATAATACATAAATAATAAGGGTAACACTACAGCTATAATAAGTTTATACAATACAGCTATAATAAGTTTATACAATATTAAGTATGTTTTTAAAGTTTGACTTAATAATTAAAATAATTTACCCAATCAAATGACTGTGTAAAACTATGAATAAGTGAGTATAACCATTGCCATTTAAGGTAGAATGTTTACGGGAAGACAATTTAGAGAGGTTAAATATAAGTATATATATTTTTAAAATATATTACTAAAAAATATAATTAATCCTAAGGAAAAGGTTTTTTAACTTGTATTTAAAGTTGTATTTAAAGATATACATAAAGAAGGTATAAAAAAACCACGCTACGACTAATAAGATCGAAGAAACACTGGGAGATGTGGAAAAATGGGGGAAAAAGTAATCTTTGAGGGTTTCCCTTGCGGTTTAATAAACATAAAATATGTGTATGAATGAAGAATTCCTCTTTAAATGATCTAAAAAACTATCCGCGACACTATATGTCTATCTCTTAAGATCAACTCGCAAGAACGACGGGAAGGGACATCGTGGGTAACAGCTTAAGCTTATAAAGATGAAGGGGTTTGCAGAAACGAATTTGGATGCCCAATATATCCCGATTCGCGCGGACGAAGTCGCTGACACAGCTAGCTTATTGACAAAGAAGAGAAGTTATCATCTAGTATGTATATATGAATCTTGCAAACAAAACAACGTTTGACAGATCAGTTAGTCCATAATAAAATTAATAGTAGTAACATTTTATAATTGTTAAAAAGAGATACCTCAAGGCGTGGAGTACTTATGAGTACTGAGCAGATGAAATTTCATCGCCTTGTACAACGGAGTTTCCCTAAACTATCTTCGCTGTCACGAAGTTTATAACTTTATGAAAATCAACACAAAGAAGTTGCATTCGAGTTTGCAAAGATGGTAAACACTCGTCGACTGTACACTGTACTCGCTTCATTAGAGTGAGTCCACAGAGTACTATACGTTATCGGATTATTAGATAGGTACTTCTATTGTCGGTGCTAATATTGCACTACTGACTTATCGATACTACGAGAGCAATAGAAACTGTTCGTCTGTACATCTAATAAAATCAATCTAATCGAAACGTGAAATGTAAAAAGACGACCAGAGCCAACGCGTGTTATTTGACGGTTGGTCTTATGATAGCAATGTATGGCTAATAATCAACGGGCCGCGGGTTCGATTCCCATCGGGTCCGACATGTTTGCTAATTGTGAATTTGTCTTTGAATGTGTGTAATTTCTGAAACCTTTTGTCTGGCAATGTGTATATTGAATGAGTGGAACCACCGACCACAGATGAAAAAGTCGTGAAGATTAATCGAGTTTCGGTTGCAGTCTATGGATTTCCCCATATCTAAAGCCAAAATAAGTCGAGAGCGCATCTTGTTTAAATGCTATAGACGGCGATATATACCGTCAAGTGTACTCCACGCTTGTCTGTTCTTCTCTATCATTAAAAAAAATCCTAAAGTAAATTCTATTGCGCTAGACGGGTTTGATTCCGGCGGAAACCTAATAAAAAGATGGGCAGCGCTCAGCGGTACGCGAGACGTGCCTGTAATTAAATTCGATGACAACATAAAGATACCTACCCTACGCCCAACGCTTAACAGGATAATTGTATAACGGCAGAGAAACCTACAATATTTTTAAACAAATTTTTAATTGGTAATGTATGTACGAGATATATTTTTCTTAACGCAAATTGACATCTATCTTCAGGTCTTTGATATATCTATGACGAACTCGTTTAACTAATTGATCATTTCCAGCTTGAATCTTACATAATTTGTTTGAAAATACTTTTCAATAAAAGCTAAGCTTAAGGCTAGTCATTGATATAAAACTTTGTTCTCGTGGAATAGTGTTTTTGGACATCATATTTATTTTGCAAACAACCTCCTCATCTTTATAAATTATAGCTGATACCCACGACATCGTTCGCGTCGGGTCGTTCTCGCGAGTTAATCTCAAAAATATAGACATATACTGTGGCGGACATTTTTTTTAGGGCATTAAAGAGGAATCATTATTGCCGTACGTATTTTTAGAGATCTTGAACCGTTTTCACCGCGCACGCAATATAAGACCTGAAATATAAATAATTTGACCAACCTAAAACTTTTCTAGATAAATGCAACCAATATAAACCAATAGAAAAATAGATTTTTGATTCGAACCAGTAGTGCCTGTGATTAGCACGTTCAAACAAATAAACTCTTCAGCTTTATAAACAAGTATAGAATAAAGAACGTACTCTTTGTTTCGATTCTATTAATAAAATCCGAGCGGAAGCCCAAAAGCATATTGACCTTAAAGAAAATTACAGGTAACAATGTGCCCGGTCGAAATATATTCACACAAGAGCCTAATTCTCCTGCGAGGGACATTCACATCACGCGATATAGCTGCTTGAAGCGTAAACTTGTGCAAAGTTCTAATCATTCGCTTTATAGAAATAACAATAACAAAACGAAAATAAACGTAACGACATCGGTCGCGTTCCGTTCGTGGGATCCCGTCGATCTTGCAAGTCAATCTTAAATGATAGACATAGAGTGTCGCGGACATGTTTTTAGATAATCTAACGATGAATATTTTTTTCACCTATACTTTTTGGGTGTCTTGAACCGTTTTCGCAGCGTACGCATCGGAAACCCGCAGATATGAATAATTTCCCCCGTTTTGTCTACATTTCCCGCTGTTTCCAAGGTAGAAGACGTGTTGGAAGGAGGAAGAAGTCATGGTTGCGATACATCAGGGAGTGGACGGGGATAGAGCGGCTTGAAGCATTGCTACTTCTCGCCAAGGGCACCAGTCGCTATCAAAAGCTAACGGCCAACCTTCAGTAATGGAGAGGCACGAGAAAAAGAAGAAGAAGTCGCTGACACAGCTAGTGATTTTACAAGGTTCGTTTTCATAAGTAGTTATAAGCATAAAGCCTATGAAACTATCGTCTACAACGGATTGTTTGAGAACGTAGAGCGATATTAGCTTTTAGTAAAGGTGAACCGGGAAGCCTTAATACTATACTGACCTTTCTCTTATGACATTTTGACGCAATCAAGATATATCAGAACAATAAAAAAAAATAGAGTTTTACTAACTACAACAATGTTTACTTTCTATCAAGGAATCGTTTATTTAAATATCGGAAAATCAACAGAGGAGCATACCGGAAAGTAAGGGCCTATTCTGGCAAGTTAAAGTAAGTTACGATTAAGTAAGTAATAAGTAAGATTCTTATTTAACTCTTTATCGCACCACACGCAATTATATATAAATGTATCTTAAAATAATTGTATTTGTAAAAATAAATGAATACTGTTAGGAATTTTTTAGGGAAAACATGATATGTTTACTGGCGCAATGTCTTAGCTTGGAAATAAAATAAAATTTATATCATGGGAAAAAGAAGTTCTTGCCAAGATTTTGAATAAAATAGTATTAAGACTAATAAGTTATATTGCAAACGTAATTAAAAAAAAAGTGTTAAGTTTGTGGACACATTGAAGATACGTTATTTTTCTTTTTTTATTATTCAATATGTTTATCTCAATTTTATTTTATGTAAATAAATTAAAGTCCTTACATTCGACAATTAAACAATTCAACTACCAAAACTCCAAACACACCTAACAAAACAGACAACATTAAAACAAAATAGTAATGTTAAATGTTAATAAAATTATTCTCCTAGTTCTGTAGTCTACATTTAAACTCAGTTCACGCCGTAGGCTTGTCGAGTGGTTTGAAATGAAACTTTTCCTCAAAACATTTCATCATTTACGAAACTAACACTTAACTTATAATCTATTTTATATTAAAGTACAAGTACGTATGTGTCTGTACGTTTAATAATATTATCAGGTTTGTTTCTTTGAATGCGCTAATCTCAGGGACTACTGGTTCGAATTGAATTATCGAAGAAGGCTTTAGGCTATAAAACGTCAGTCTGCGACCAGAAGGAGCGAGAATACAGTGGTAAATGTAGAAAAGAGGGGGGAAATCTAGAAAATTCAAGAAAGCAAAGATTTGTATAAAATGATTCCTCTATAAATGATCTAACAGTGTCCGCGATAGACTGTCTATTTTTTGAGACTAACTTACAAGAAAGACAGATTTACTTTGAGTTTGGTTCGGGTAATACGATTTGTATCATTAAAAAGTGCCACGAGGAACAGATAAAATAACAACAAGTTAAAACTGTTGCAAGTAAGATTAAATATAAACATTTTAATGGTTCATAAATATGGACTTTTAGTTGGTTGAAGCTGTATGTATATACTATTGGTAATAAAAACAACACATCCGGTAAACGCTTAAGAAAATTTAACAATAAACGCATCTATTAATTTACTTCAAAAGCACGTTCAAGACAAGATCTCGATCGTCTTTCAACTATAAACTTCGCTACAATATAGTTATAAGTGTCTAAGACATTACAAAGCACTGGCCCGTACTCAAGTACCTATTTAGTTTCCATTATATAAAGTTTTTCAAAGCAGTAAAAGGTTTGACGGCAAGAGTGGCAAAGCATTCCTTTAAACCTTTTCAAAGGAAAGTTCTTAACACATAGCTTTATACAGCGTGTACCAGTTGAGCCGACATTTTATAATATTTGTTAAATGTAAACGTTATATAACAAAAATTGTATAAATC